TCTGTAAAACTCTGTAGTACTTTATTTTTCAGGTCACCCCAACCCTGAAAACTTTGTTTGGGAGGAATACCTTCAGGAGACCGGTTCTACTGCTGCTCCTATTTCAGCCTTTACTCTGGTGAGGATTGAGGAGGCTCATGCACACATGGAGCCAATCAGAAAGCTGTTTCTGGTAACTTAGAGCTTCTCCTGTACTTTTGTCCAACAGAGAGCGCCACATGGTTTCCAGGTGAACCATAAGCTTGAGGCAGTTGACAGGAGAAACCCTATGCTAATACGCGTTGCCACAGTAACAGACACAGAGGACTACAGGGTGAAGGTAATGTGTGTCTGTGTGTGTAACATAAAAGTTATAACAAAGTCAGCCTTCCATCACCTGAGGAACATTTCTAGGATTAAAGGACTGATGACACAAGGAGACCTAGAAAAACTCATCCATGCATTTATCTCTAGCCGCCTTGATTACTGTAACAGTATCGTCACAGGTTTAAAAAATCAATTAGACAACTGCAGCTGATTCAGAACGCTGCTGCTCGTGTTCTCACTAGAACCAAGAAAATAGAGCACATTACTCCAGTTCTAAAGTCTTTACACTGGCTCCCTGTAGCTCAGAGAATAGACTTTAAAGTGCTGTTATTAGTTTATAAATCTTTGAATGGGTTAGCACCAGAGTACATTAGGGATCTGCTATCATGGTACAAACCATCTAGATCAGTCAGGTCCTCCAGCTCTCGTTTATTGACCGTCCCTAGAACCAGAACTAAACATGGAGAAGCAGCTTTTAGTTTCTATGCTCCTCACATCTGGAACACACTATCTGGAGAATGCAAAGCTGCAGAGACACTGAACTCTTTTAAGTCTAAAATTAAAACTTACTTATTTAGACTTGCTTATAAGTAACTGATCCTATTATGGCTCTCTACCCGTTTGTTTTAATTTTTTCATATAAATTATTGTCTTGATTATTGTTTTATTGTAAATGCTTTCTTGTATTTTACTTTTATAGTGTTTTATGTTTTATTTTTTGTGTTTTATTTTAATCATGTAAAGCACCTTGAATTGCCTTGTGCTGAAAGTGTGCTATACAAATAAAATTGCCTTGCCTAATGTAGTGATAATCGTTAACTCGTCTACCATTTTGGACATGTGACAGAATATAGGTCAGAATATAGGACCTAGTGAATAAGGCTCCAGTCACAGAGACCAGACGAGAATGTCTGACAACAACCAGTCATGAGTTAGTGAGGAGAAAAATAAGTATTCCTTGACTTGTTGTAAGTGGTTGCTGGTAGAGATGGCACGATACCACTTTTTTATGTCCGATACCGATACCGATATCATAAATTTGGATATCTGC